AAAAAAAAAAAAAAAGAAAAGAAAAGAAAAATTAGCCAGGTGTCATGGCAGGTACTTACAGTCCCAGCTAACTACTTGGAAGGGTGAGGCAGAAGGATCGCTTGAACCCAGGAATATGAGTTATTATGAGCTAGGCGGATGCCAGGATGCCATAGCACTCTAGCCTGGGCAACAGAGACTCTGTCTCAAAAATAAATAAATAAATAAATAAATAAAAATATCAACCAAAATGAAAATATTAAAAATAGGCAGGCACGATGGCTCACACCTATAATCCTAATACTCTGGGAGGCCTAGACAGGTAGATTGCTTGAGCTCATGAGTTTAGAACCAGCCTGAGCAAAAGTGAGACCCCTCACCTCTACTAAAAATAAAAAGTAAAAAAATAAAACTGAGGCAAAAGGATAGCTTGAGCCCAAGTTGGAGCTTTCTGTAAGCTATGACACCATGGCACTCTACCCAGGACAATAGCTTGAGACTCCGTTTCAAAACAAAAAGAAAATACTAAAAATAACAAAAGATGAAAACAACAATGTTCTTATTATGCTATCCCACAGATATAACAGTTTATATATTCTTTTAAACTATTTTCTCTGTCTGCACACATATACCTACATCTATACATCAATAATCATCTTTCCAGGGCTCGGCGCCTGTGGCACAGTGCTTCCAGTGCCAGCCACATACACTTAAACTGGTGAGTTTGAACCCAGCCTGGGCCAGCTAAAACAATAATGGAAACTGCAACAAAAAATAGCCAGGAGTTGTGGCAGGCACCTGTAGTCCCAGCTACTCGGGAGGCTGAGGCAAGAGAATTGCTGAAGTCCAAGAGTTTGAGGTTGCTGTGACCTGTGACGCCACGGCACTCTACTAAGGGGGACACAATTAGACTCTGTCTCAAAAAAATAAAATAAAATAAATAATCATCTTTCCAGATCCATACTCATAGATAAAACATGTTCTTTGTAACTCTGGCATAATACTTCACTGTAAAGATATATCCATTAATTTAACCACAAGAATACAGTATCACGGCTTGGCGCCTATAGCTCAACCGGCTAAGGCGCCAGCCACGTACACCTAAGGTGGTGGGTTCGAATCCCCAGCCCGGACCCGCCAAACAATGACGGCTGCAACCAA